ACGTCCGAGTCGAATCCACGTCGAACCCGCGCCGAGCCCGCGCCGAGTCCGCATATGGAGCGCGCGTCGAGGCGCCCGAGAGAAAGCACCAGTCTCGAGGCCAGCCGGGCCCCCCCCCCAGAAGATGCAGCGCAGTAGATCCCTGTCGCCCCTGCTCTAGGGTTAAGTCGGGCGTGTCCCCCTACAGAGGGATTTGGGGCGAAAAATAACAAATACTCAAAAATACCCCCCAAATGCAAAAAGATAGTCCACAAATCGTCCCCAGACTATTTTTTGACTATTTTTGGGTATTCCCCCTGTAGAGGGATACGCCCGACTTAACTCTAGGCGGACAAACAATGACATAAAACCTAAAAACTCGGAGGTCCGCGCAGATTTCTCGGGTCGGCGCTGGACCCTCCCTGACGCGCGGAGCCCGCCAGTGGGCCCCAGCGCCGATCCGAGAAATCTGCGCGGACCTCCGAGTTTTTAGGTGTTGTGTCATTGTTTGTTCCCCCATGCTCGGGGTTAGCGGTGGCGGCGAACAGCTGCCCGCTTCCGGGATGTGGCTCTGCGTGAAGCGGATGGCAAGAGGGCACAGGAGCTTCTCCTCGTACACGGGCATGCCTTGTGTCGCAGGAGGGCCAGCCGAGGGACTCGCGGCCCCTGCTTGGGAGGACCAGGGAGGAGGGCGGGCAGGAAGGACGTGGGACGGGAGGGCGAGGAGGAGCGAGGAGAAAATAGCAGGGAGAGGGGGAGCCGAGGTGGAGCGAGGGAAAGCAGGGAGAGCAGGGACGGCGAGGAGGAGTGAGGAGGGGGGGGCGAGGAGGGAGAAGAGGAGAAGCTAGCAGGGACTCCGAGGCCGCAGTCGGCCCTCCTCTGACTTGCACGATCGAATTGGGGGTTGGCTGTCGGGGCAGCGCCTCGGTGAGCCAACAAGCTGTGCCAAAATGGCTGCGGGAACGCCACGGCGAGGATCGGCGGCGTGCCGGGGGGGGGGGAACGAGAGAGGGAAGGCCTTCTCAGGCGGCAGGGCGCTTCTCAGAAGCCCTCGCGCCGCCCGAGAAGCCTTGCAAGCCTTCTCCGAAGCCGCAGACGCCTTCTCAGGAAGCGCGAGGGCTTCGGAGAAGCCCCGCCGCCCTCTGAGAAAGCCTGCTCCCTGTCACTTCCCCCTCTGGGATCGCCGCCGAGGGGGGAGGAGCAACGAGAGAACCGCGCCGTAGCAGAACTTCCTTTTTTCCAATGCCACACCCCCTCCTCGCCCCAGTCAGAGTCCACCGCCCGGGGGCCGCGCTCAGAACGCCAAGACTACGCCGCAGGGCACGAAGTTCGCACACCCAGCCCGCGACCAAGACCCTCGCCTGTGTGTATAGGGATACGACCGAGGGTCGATCCTATACGGGTGTCCGCAGGTAGAGGCAAAGGAGGAAGAGGTTAGCTACTCCTTTTCCTGGGCGCTGCGCGGAGAGCAGCGCGGTACGTTGTTCATGCCAATATGTCAATACCTGAGCCGATACGTTAGCGGTACATGACGATGTAATCGTGATACGAACGGACTTCACACACACACACACACACACATCGCCCACCCACCAGGGCTTTGGGGTACAGTTAAGTCGGGCTTGCCCCCTACAGGGGGATTCTGGACGGAAAATAAAAAATAGCAAAAACATACACTGGAATACTGAAAAATGGTAAAATACATACTCCCTGGACTATTTTTTGACTATTTTTGAATATTCCTCCTGCAGAGGGACAGGCCCGACGTAAGGGTACAGCATGGCAGGTCTTCGAGGCAGAACAGCAGGCGGGGAAGGAGAGGAGCGAGCGCGGTGGCAGGCTGCGGGGGAGCGGCGGGCACGGCCGACGCCCACAGTGAGGAGGCAGCGCGAGGACACACGGCGGCCCCCGCAGGAGCGGGGGGGGGGGGGGGGGGCAGAGGGGGACGAGAGCAGGGGCGGGGCCAGGAGCAGCGTTGGGAGGCAACTGCTGGGAGGCCTTCGTCGGAACAATGAAGGAGGATTACGCCCCATTGCGGGGCTGTTGCGCCAGAGTGGGCCTCGGATCAAGCGGGATTAAGCCGGATTGAACGGGATTAAGCCGGATTAAGCGGGATCAAGCGGGATCAAGCCGGATTAAGCGGGACTTCGGACCAGGGCAAACTCAGAGTTTGCCCTCCCAGGAGTTGCATCCGAAGCAGCGGGAGCATGGGGCACGGCAGACGCCCACGGTGAGGAGGCAGCGCAGGGACGCAGTGCCCTCTCGGGCGCACGTGCTGAAACGACTGCAGCCGCGTGCGGCCACAGGATGGGATGCGCACGGGCCGAGGAGACCCAGGATGCGCGGAGCCCCACGTCTGCACCATGGCTTGTGGCCGTACAGGGCAGTTTTTAATGCATAGGATTTGTTTAGAAAATATAGGATTTGTCATACATGACTAATGTATGAATAAATGTATGCATGAACTCATCGTTGTTGTTTATACTAAACCCCTGCATTTTAATACATGATCCCACGCGGAGCATGTATAACAAACGGCACTGTATGTCGTAGGAGCAGGAGTCGGGCTAGCCATCTCGAGCGCGTTCGAGGGCTCCACTCACTCCAATCCTCCCATAGCATACGAATGAACTTCAGCACAGGGAGGCTTGGCAAGCCCAACATGGGTACTGAAAGAACTGGACGCGATGCACCAATTGGGCTGGCGCGTCCCTGGAAGTCCCGGATCCTCTCCCAGAGGCAGGTGTTCCATCCCGAGTCGTTTTGGACGGTCCTGGAGTCCCGCGAAGGCTCCCGGAGACCGCAAACGGACCAAAAGCTCCCGCGGTGTGGGTTTTTACGGCGCGAGCATGTCTGGGTTCCTCTTCCGAACGGGCAAGAACTGCCGCTGGCCTTCGTTTGAGCAGGAACCGACCGTCCCGGCATTCCTATAGTCCTACCACGAAATGTCCGTAGAACCCCAAACATTTCCTAAGAACAAAACCATGTTCTTAGAACATTAGCCTGGTGTGTTAATCCGAGACAGGTCCAATCAGACGTGCTCTGAGAACCTCTCGTGCAAACCACATCGGCGAGCCAGGACGCTCCGCCACTGCTTGACTCGTCCCCACTCTCTCCGTCCTCCATGCCGATCGCGCCCAGAGGGCTGGCGCGTGCCCCCACCCCGGCCCGAGTGGACGCACGCTCACTGCCCCCCCGTTGCCGTCCGCCCAGGCAGGGAGGAGGAGGAGGAGGAGGAGGAGGAGGAGGACGAGGAGGAGGAGGAAGAGGAGGAGGAGGAGGAGGAGGAGGAGGAGGCGCTCGCGCGGAATCCCAGGGAAGGGCAACTCGCGGGGGGTCCCTCGGGTGCTCGTCAAGGGGGGGGGGGCCCGACACGTGCGCCCCTCGTGCTCCTGCCGGGCCCGCGGTGGCAGTCCCAGGGCCGCTCCGGGCCACCTTCCCGCAGGCATCGATCCCCCCCCCCCCCACGCTTGTTGCCCTCCCACTTAAAGGGGCCCCAGGACACACAAATAAATACACAAATAAAAAGATTCCCCATATTTTTTCATATGTTCTGGGTTTCTGTCTTTCCCCCCACTTCCCATATTTTCCCATATTTTCTGGGGGATCGAGGATTATTTGTGTCTGTGTGTTTCTTTTCCTCCTGACCACTGGCGTCCGCCCGGGTCGCGCCGAGTCTGCTCGCGGGCCGGCGTCTCCCCCCCCCCCCTCCGTGTGGCCGGGCGTGGCCAAGGGCAACAACACGAGCCCCTTTCGCCCCAGGCCCAAGGCCCCATGGAGGCACCCCGAATGGCAAGAATCGTAGGGTGCAAGGCCCACGCGCGAATTTGCGCCAGCCCAACGCGCCAGAGGCATACGATGATCTCGGGCAAGTGTTTCAAACTATTTGTAAAGTACTTGTCGGTTCACTCATCGCGCTGGCCCATGATGTATCATCGCTGGCACTTGACTGTGTGCTCGATGGGGGTGAAAAATTGGTGGGTCACGGTCGTGTCCCTGATCTGTCGCGTGAACCTCGCATAGGAGAGAACCGGTTGCAGGGTAGCTGCAAAACAGCACTCAATGGAGCACGCCCCCACTGAAGTTCCGTCAATGCATCTCGCCACCGTGCCTGGGTCGTGGTTCAGAGGTGCGTTCGATACGTCTCGAGTTCTCTTGGGATGCCTCTCGTGGGCCTCTTGGAAGCTTACTGGGGGCTGCCGAGGGCCTCCTGGAACCTATTGTGAGCTTCTCCTTGGGTCTCTGGGGGGGGGTCTTGGGGGTCTACGCCTCTTGGGGGCTTCTGGAGAGACTCTTGCGGGCCTGCTGGCCACCTTGGAGGGGTTGTCGGGCCGTCTGGGGGCCCTCTTGCGCCGGCTTGGGGCGATCTTCCTGGTCCCTCGGACCTTCTTGAGCTGTCGGAAGCACGGAAAAACGAGCAAGCTGAAATCCTTGTAACGCCTCAGGCCGATCACCGACTTCTGGGCCTCAAGAGCTCTCCCGAGGGGCCTGTCTCCGCCACGCACTTCCTCCGGCTTCCCCTGCCAAGCTCCCCTCAGTCAGGGTACCCCGCCTCGTCCAGGACAAGGAAGGTGCAGCGCCGCAGGGTGCAGCCCTTCATCCTGACGATGTCGATCATGCGGCCCGGCGTGGCGATCACGACCTCGCTGCCCGCCTGCGATTGCGCGGCTCTTGTCTGCGAGGAGGGGGAGCAGCAAGAAACGGTGGGGAAGGGCGCCGAGGAGCGCGACGAAGAGAAGGAGGAGGAGGAGGAGGAGAAATGATCCATCCGCCGCCTCCTCCGCGCTCACACTCATTCTTCCTCCTCCTCCTCCTCCTCCTCCTCCTCCTCCTCCTCCTCCCTTTCCTCCTCCTCCTCCTCCTTCTTCCTAGCGTTCCTTCCTCGTTCATCCCCTTCCTCAAATAGTTTCCGTCTTCCATCTCCCCCCCCGCCTCCTCAACACCCGCCCCCTCCCAACCCCGAAATCATCCGCCCACACCTCTTCACCTGGAGCTTGTTGCGAGCAGGATGTTGGTGCGGAGCCAGCCGTGGCGACGAGAGAATGCGGTGTTCTGGCAGTCCCCTCGAGGCGAACAAATTCAACATGTGGGCGGGGCCCCTTCGCCGACGCCGTAAACGAATCGCCGCACAACGAATTCGCCGTCGAAGGGCTTATATTGCGGACTCGCTGCGAAAATCCGCCGGCCCCCTTGTGGGGCCACGAGGCTGTAGGCCGAAAGTTCAAAATTTCCTGTACCAGTTTCAGCTTCCCGCTTCCACTGTTACAGTTCTGCTTCTTGCTGCTTACTGTTCCTTGTTGACTTCTTGCTGCTTACTGTTCCTTGTTAATGGGCCGTGCGAAGGGGGGAGGCCCAAAACGGGCGATTTTACGACGCACTGAGCGTGTTGTCTGAATTGCTGGGGTGGGTAAAAAGTGACACCTCTCACGCAAATCGGCGGGAGAGATTTGCCACATTTCTGACATTCGCTGGCATCCCATCAAGCAGATCGGCGGGGTCCGGGTCCAAACAAAAACATGAAGGATTTGCCACATGTCTGACATTCGGTGGCACCCCTCACGCAGATCAGCGGGGTCGGGGTGCAAGAACATAAAGGATTTGCCACATTTCTGACATTCGCTGGCACACCTCACGCAGATCGGCGGGGTCAAGGTCCAAAAACACAAAGGATGTGCGACATTTCTGAAATGCGGTGGCACCCGTGACGCAGATCCGTACGGTCAGGGTCGAGAAAACAAACAGGTCCCGACGCTGCTTCACGGCGCCCAAACCTCATGATTTAGCTTTTGCATCTACCATTATCCGAGACAAGGGGGCCGGCGGCATGGGGTGAAACCCTTACGGATACTAAACATGTAAACGGGCAACACAAATCAATGCGTAAACGCGCTGCAAACAAAAAGAACATGTAAACCCGCCACAGAAGGAATCAAAATGCAAATTCACCACACAAGGGCACACTTGGTAAATCCGCCACGCAAGGAATCAATTTGCAAATCCGCCACACAAGGAACCAATTGGTAACTCAATCCGTTACACGAAGAGTCCTATTGATATCCTCCACCAAAAAAATATCGGATTGAAATCCTCGACAAATAAAAATCCGACTGAAATGAATCAAAGAAGAATCCGATTGAAATCGCTAACACATAGGAACCCTTTACAACAAGCATCCGTTAAAATCCCCGACAGAATCTTATTGAAATCCTCGACAAAAGGAATTCAAATGAAATCTTCTACATAAAGAATTCGATTGAAATTCTTGACAATAAGGAATCACATTGAAGTCCTTCCCAAAAGGAATGTCATTGAAATCCCCAGCAAAAGGCATCCTAGTGAAATCCACAACAACATGGATGTTGTTGAAATCCTTTACACAAGGAATGTGCCTCATCAGAATTCCACCCAAATCTTGTTCTCACTTTTTTGGAACCTTTAACATCGGATTATAGGTGTCGCCTGCGATTATGATGTCGGCGGGCGTGTGTTTTCACAGAATATCAAGCGAAACCTGTTTTTTGCTTCAAAAACCAAGTAAAAACAAACAGTGTCCACAGTTTCGCTTGATACATTCGAAAAATGCTAACCAGCCGAACTGATTGGGTGTAACATATTCAGAGGGGGTCACAGGCGATATTTGGTTTTTCGATACGAAACATGGTATAACAAAAAAACAGTTTAAAAAAGGAGAACAAGATTCTGGTGAAATCCGGAAGAGTCCCACCACAAAAAGAAACGTATTGAAATCCTGTACTGAAGGGAATCATGCTGAAATCCCCAACAACAGGAATCATATTCACGTCCTCCACAAAAGGAATAGTATTGAAATCATCGGCAAAAGGAATTCAATCGAAATCCTCGACAAAAGGAAAACATCTTGAAATCCTCCACAAAAGGATTCCTTCGAAAATCTCCCACAAAAGGAATCCTATTGAAATCCCCGGCACAAGGAATCTTATGATACCGGAGAAAAACCACAATCATATTTTTTTAAGGCTGTAGGGCTTCAGGGCTATATGGGCTATTGGGTTACAGGGCATCAGAGCTATAGGGCTATGGGGCAATAGGGCTATATAGCTATATGGCAATGTGGCTATGGGGATATAGGGCGACAGAGCACCCACCCTGGCACCCCCGGGCACCCCAAGGCACATCCGGGCACCCCTGGGTTCTTCCGGGCACCCTTGGGCACCCCTGGGCACCCCAGGCAACAGGGCACCTGGGCCGCCGCCGAAGTCGGCGGCATACCTCACCTAACCATATGCTAGGACCCCGAATCCTTTACACATCGAATCCTATTGAAACCATTCACGCCTGAAATCCTACTGACATCCTTTTACGAATGGAGTTTGATTGAAATCCTCGACAAAACGAACCCGATTGAATTCCGCAGCAAGAGGAATACGATTGGATTTTTTTTTACGAAAAATCCGATTGAAAGTCTTTGCGCAACAAATCCAACTGAAATCCTTTCCAAAATGAGTTTCGCTGAAATCCTAGACAAAAGGAATCCGATTGAAATGCACAACAAAAGGACGTCGAGTGAAATCCTCTACAAACGGAGTCTGCCTCATCTGAATTCCAGCATCATAATATCTTTACGACATTCCTGTTTATTCTTCAATTCCAAAAACATGTTTTACAAAAACAACAGATTTCGTCGGTGATTCCATCCGAATTTCCGTATCCAATGATTTCGGCTGGCGTGCGTTTCCAGAGAGTACCACGCGTAACATGTTGATATCAAAAACCAAGGAAGAGCAAACAGAAACTACAATTTCGCTTGATACTGTCTGAAACTGCACGCCAAATATTTAAAACTCAAAGGGGGTCACGTGCGAACCCCGGTGTTTTCGATGTTACTGTTCTATTTAACAAATGGGAAATGAGATTCTGCTGAAAAAAAATGCTACCTGTACGGCTGCCGAGCACCACCACTCACTCCTACAACGATTGCGAGCAACGATGCAACGCCACCATTGCCGCTAGAACCAAAAGACCACCACCAGCGGTGCTCCACCGCCACCCGTTCTGGGTCAGGAACGGGGATGGCGGCGCCTCTGCAAATCCTGCCAATACCACAGACGCCAGCATATGTCGACACTTACGGGGCGGATGCAACCACCGCCAACACAATTGCCTACACGGCCGCACATTTGACCCCACCACCACCACCACCAGTATCCCTTCTGAGTAAAGGGGGTGGTGGTGGTGGTGGTCGCTGCGGTGGATGCGACCCCCTCCCACTACCGCCAGCACCTCCATCGAGGGAAGCGGATGGCCAACAGAAAGAGATAGGGGGATGAGGATAAAGCCGCAGAGTTGCGACAGCTTTTTTACTGTTGCTGCCACCGCCCCAACTACATCAACCACCGCCGCCACCCTGCCCAATCGCAGCCGCCACTTCCCTTTCTTGGTCAAGGATGGCGGCCGCGGCGGTGGATACGATGGCGGATGCGACGCCACCCTGCCAACGCCAACACTCAAGTTCACGAGCGCCTTTACTGACGGTGCAACTACCCACCGCTACCATCGACTCCATCACCGCAAGCACCTCGCCATCATCACTGCCCCGCTGCCTCCGCCACCGCCCGTTCTGGGTTAAGGGGGTGGCGGCGGTGGTGAGGGCAATGGTTGCGGCGGCGGCGGTGCCCCCAATGCCACCACCACTGCCAAGTTACCACTAGTACGTGCGCGGGTGGTTTCACCGCCGCCGCCACCGCCATCGTCTACATCGCACCACCGAAGTGCGTGCACATGGGCGGTGGCAGAAGTGGCTGTGCTGGCGGTCGAGGCGCCTCCTCTCCAATCGTCACCATCACGCCGCCAACGTCTGCGAATGCGTCCACTGCTGTTGCTGGTGCCGCCACCACCACCTCCGCCACCACCAGTGCCCCCCCCTCCCTCCCCCTGCCTATCCCGCGGCCAACACTGCCTTTTGGCTGGAGATGTCGCGGTGGTGCTGGAGGCGATCCCCAACTACCACTACCGCCACATCCGCCAACCCCCGTTAATAATTCCACGGCTGCGTCCACCACCAACTTAGATACTACTCCACCGACTCCCCCGCACCCGTTCAAGGCCACTGCGGGCGGCGCAATTGGTTGTGACGATTGCGAGCGCGACCCATTCAGCATATTGTGGATAATCACTATATTATTGCTACCACCACCATCACATCCACCATCCACCATCCACCGCCGCTGGTTAGTGGGCGTGGCGGTGATGGTGGGGCCCCCGCTTCTACCACGCAACCGCCACATCCAACACGTCATTCATCAAACCGTAATGCGTTAAGCCAGACTCAAAGACACGAAGCATAAACCTAAGTCAAGTCCACAAAACAAACAACATCGGTATATACAACTATAGTTATTGTCCACAAGGGTGGGGGGGGGCTCGGAGAGATACATAGAGAGAGAGAGAGAGAGAGAAAGAAAAACAAATCAGAAGGATGATGAGGCAGACGACGACGCCGAGGAGGGGAGGGGGGGAAAGGACGAGGAAGTGCACGGGGAGAGGAGAGGGGGAGAGGAGGAAACTGAGGAAGAGGAGGAAAGGAGTACAACTGGTGATGCGGGGAGAACGGAAGAGGAAGAGAAAGGGGGAGGATGGCTGGAGGGGGGGGGAGAGGGCCGAAGAAGCGGATGAGGAGGAAGAGGAAAGGATGATGAGGAGGAGGAGCATGTGTAGCGGGAACAGGAGGAAGAAGAGGATGGTGAATTGGACAAAGAACAGCAGTGGGAAAAGCAGGATGGAGAGATGGATAAGGAAGCGGGTGGCGAGGAGGAGGGGGCGAGGAGGCCCCCCCTTCACCGTCAGCAGCATGCGTGTGCGCATGCTTGCGATTACGCATGTATGCGTGGACGTGTATGTAGAGCAGCAGGTACAAGCGCACATTCGAGCACACACACAAACCCACGCACGCACGCACACAACCACGCACACACGCACGCACACACAAACACACACACACACACTGTTTGCGTCGGCAGCGAAACAGAGGGACTGCGCTGGCGACTTAAGCAACACACGCACACTTTCGGGCGCACGCGGTGGGGGCGCAGGAGCCGCTCGTCCGTGCGGAAATCACGCCCGAGGAAGCGACCTGACGCCGGGCTCCGTGAAATGGACGCCACGCACGCGACGACTGCATGAACAGACAGCGACGCAGGAACCGATGCCAGGCAGACCGAGCACCAGCCGGCCAACTTAGGACGAGACGGACAGACACGAGGGACAGTGGCCGGATCGGCGGGGAAGGAAAAGCCGAGGTGAAAAGGGGAGGCGCCTCACCACAGAAGACACGACGAGGGGGAGGAGACAGCCGAGCACGGAGGCGGGAAAGGAGAAACAGGGGCACAAACACAAGGGCATGGGGGAAAGAAAGGCCTGTGCCCAAGTCAACGGGTCCTCCCGCACGAACCGCGTGCGAGTTCTTCAAGCCGCTCTTGAATGGAAGCAGACGGCATCGAACTCCAACTAAGTTTCTCACATCTGCCAGAGATCGCCATAGCGGACTCCTCCTCCTCCTCCTCCTCCTCCTCCTCCTCCTCCTGGTCTTCCTCCTCCTGCTCCTCCTCCTCTTTTTCCTCCCCCTCCTCCTCCTCCCCCTCCTCCTCCCCCTCCTCCTCCTCCTCCTCCTCCTCCTCCTCCTCCTCCTCCTGCATGTTCTGCATGTTCTGACTGCGGAACAGCGGCTTGATTCGTGCTCCCACGTGCACACGCACACACAAACACACACACACACGCGCGCGCACACAAACACACACACACACACGCACACGCACACACACACACACACATGCAACCGCACACACACAACCACTGACAACACCACAGACTGACCATACCACGCACTCCACACATACACCACAGACTGACCATACCACGCACTCCACACACATGCGACACGCAAACATATAATTACGCAAACAGACAGACATAACCACATACACACACGAAAGCACACACACACACGTACGCTGTCTGGCGATCGCGGCTTCCTCCCTCCTCCTTTCCCACCCGTCTCCCGACCCCAGGAGTGCGTGCCGGAGGGAGGAGGAGGAAGACGAGGAGGAAGAGGAGGAAGATGAGGAGGGGGAGAGGGGGGAAGATGACAATGCCTTCTCCTCTCCTCCTCCGAGCACTCTTCCTTCTCCTCCTCCTCCTCCTCTTCCTCCTCCTCTTCCGCCTCATCATCCTCCTTCCGCGTGGGCGGAGCAGGGAGGAAGGGAATGGAAGGGATGGAGGAGGGAGATGAGGAAAAGGACAAACTTGAGAAGATGGAGCAGCAGGAGGGAGAAGGATAATCAGTTGAGGGGAAGGGTGATGAGAAGGGTAGAAGATGCAATGAGAGAAGAGGGTGAAGGATGGATGGGTAACACATGTGAGGGAAGACGGAGTGATGGGGAAGGACGGGGCCTTGATCTCCTTGAACTGCTTCTGTTTGGACATACCGCCAGCCAAGTTGCAGATTCGAAGGCCAACAGCCTCCAAGGGCTGATGAGGTGGGATGAGGAGAAGGAAGATGGGGAGGAGGAGCAGGGAGAGGACAAAGAAGGGGAGGGGAATAAAGAAGGGTTCGGAGGTGGAGGAAGATGGCAATGAAAGAAAGAGCAGGAGGGGAACGTAGAGAGTTGTCACCCCTCCCCCACAAACCTCCCCTTCTCATCTCTCCCTGCCCGTCCCCCTCCCTCCGTCCGTCCACTCAACCCGCATTCCCTCTCCTTCATGTTCTCGTTATCCTTGGCCTTCCCTATCCTTCTCCATTTCCCCGTGCTGTTCCGCCTCCCTATCTTCTCATTGTCGTGTATTCCTCTGTCACTATCACTGTCACTGTCACTCTCACGTTTCCCTCATCTACCCCCTGTTTCATGTACCATCTTTCTCTGTAATGGCATACGCATTGAGCACTATTACACACGCACACTCTCTCTATACCTAGCGTCCAACGATCTCTCTGTTTATATGTGTACATTACTACCCCCGCGCCCTACATCACTGTGTGTATGTGCTTCCGATCTGCATATACACACATACGCATACATAGTGGGACGCATACATCTATCCGAGAACTAAATGTTATCCTTGGAGGTGTGCGCCTGACCCGAGCATAGTTGTAGCATTCCCATTGTTAATATATCGTTTCCCGAGCGGTACGGCCAGAAAGTACCTGCCACGACTCATTCACGAATCTATATATATCTATATACAGACTAGAACCATCGCGCGCTTCGCGCGCGCTCAAGTTCTGGCTAGGCTTGATGGGCTAACACATTGAATATCATCTTTGTTGTCTCTTGCATTCAGGGACTCTCTTGGAGGCCCTGCGCAAGCCCCGGAATCGTGTAGAACGGGAACTGCGGAAACGCAAAAATCATGAATTGCGGTTAGGCATTCAACGAATTGGGGTCCTCGAAGGCTTCCTGGGTTCTTGTCTGGGGCCCTCATTGTGGTCTGTTGTGCAAGAGTAGACAGGGGGCGAACTTAGGAAAAACAAGAAATTGTGTGACTTCCCATTGTTTCAAAATGTAGTGCCTGGGCTGTGGGTTAGACGTTCTGAATGCAGGCCACGGTCTGTGGGGATGCCTCTCGGGGTCTTCGTGCAAGGGGGTGAGTTTAGAAAGAAATAATCTTAAAATTCCATGCTTCCAACTTGTGGGATCATGGGATCTCGATTTCTACAGTGGCTTCAGGGGCAGCCAAGAGGACACGAAAACGATCCAAGAGAGTGCCAAGACAGCGTCAGAGAGTTCAACAGCATTCCCGAAACATTTTTGCATGCGACCCCGGAGTCTTGATGGGGTTCGAGGAAGAAGATAGAGGGAGTAGGAGTCCCAGCTTGAAAAAAATGAATCTCTGGAACTCAATGTTTGTTTTTACTTCCTCGGTCTTGGAGCGTTGAAAGCGGGAAAACGTGAAAGGCGAAACAACGTCGACGAAAACCACTGGAAAGCAACGGTTTGACCCTCTTCGGGCTCTCTGGGGACGGCTCTCGAAGCTCTCTTGGGCTGTTTTCGGGGCCTCGTCGGGGCTTTTCGTTCGGCCTCTCAAGGGTCTGGGGTGTGTTGGAGGCCTCTGGGGGGCGAGTCCTCTCAGAGATCTCTGGAGGCCTCCTGCTCCCGCTCTTGGGCTCGTCTTGGGCCTGTTCTGGGGTGGTCTGGAGCTGTCCTGGGCGCCTCTTCGGCAGTCTTGGGGCCGTCTTGGCCCGTTTTGGGGGCCTCTTGGGCGGTCTTGGGGCGGTCATGGGGGCCTCTTCGGCCGTCTTGGAGCGTTGGAAGCATGAAATGGTGAGAAGGCCAACAACCCGCAAGACAACAAATATAATAAACGATGTGAGGTTCTTCGGGCGCTCTCGGGAGGCCTCTCGGAGCTCTCTTGAGGTCTCTTGGAGGCCTCCTGGGAGCCTGGAGAGCCGCCCGAAAGCTATCCTGGGTTGAGCGCGGTACCGGGAGCGTACTCGAGATGTGAGCGAGTTGGAGGACGCCAGGGAAGGGGGCCCGGCGTATTCGTTTATATTTGTGTATATATATACACATATGTATACATACAAACATACATATACATATACATATATACATATATATATGTATGCACATGTATGTATACATCTAGAGAGAGAAAGAGAAACAGAGAGAGAGAGAGAGACATACGATTTCTCGGTGCACGCGTCGCCCCTGGGAGGCGACGTGCACCCATCGCATTGGTATGTTTGGGTGGCGCCGATATTCATATATACACACAGGTACATACACACGCATACATGAGCATATGCACACCATTGTTGCCTCTTTACACTCCCCCCGCAAATTCCAAGACGAACACCGCCACCAGATGAACGGGCCACGGTGCCGCACACTCTGTCAGGACGCTCGAGCGCGCGGGTCCACGCGCACGCGCATGAGTTGAAAATACGGGCGAAGCCTTTTAACGATTCCACGCCCTCCAGCCGGACCTAAGACAGAAGACCGTCCTTCAGGACCATGGGACCCTCCGCAGGCCTAACTGAAGAACCGCGGTACCCTTCCCCAGGATACACAAGAACATCCAACAAACACGAGGAACATCAACTTTCCACGGATCGGGGGTTGCTGAAGGTGCCCCTGGCCCAAGGTGCCCCCAGCTTTTCGCTCCAGTGTCGAGCCCCTGGGGCCCTCTGGGCCTCGTGAAGGGTGGAGGCCGTGGGGGCCGCTTTGGAAAGCATGGGGGCACCTTGGGCCAGGGGCACTCTAGCATTAAGTCGGGCCCGTCCCTCTACAGGAGGAATATTCAAGGATAGTCCAAAAGTAGTATGGGGACTGTGTTTGGAATATTTTTTGACCATTTTAGAATTTGTTTGAGTAATTTTTCGTCGGAAATCCCCCTGTAGGGGGACAGCGCCCGAGCAGAGCACGACGGCAAGAGCAGGCCCGCCGGCCCAGGCGAACCGAGGACCGGGGCCCCGCGAAGGCCCCCGTGCTCGGCGACAGCCCCTCCTGGGCCCGCGGTGCGACCCGAGCAGGCCTCTGCCGACCACTCTCCTCCTCTTCCTCCGCCTCCTCCTCCTCCTCGCCCCTGCGGGCACGAGGGGAGGAGGGAGACAGGAATGAGGAGGATGGGATGGGATCTGACTGCAGAGCACACCTCCACCACGCCCAAAGCGAGAGCCGAGAGAAGGATCTGCCAACATCAACCGTAGCGCAGCCCGCACACGTGCACCAACAGAGGTGGGCGAGGCCTCTGGAGGCTGGTATATATATATATATATATATATATATAATATATATATATATATTATATATATATATATATATATATAACGACTGCGAGTGGAGACTTAACAGGGACAAGCTGCTCATGACAAGGGTCTTTCGAGGCAGAACAGCGGCGGCCCGATGCAGGCAGCAGAGGCCAGCGCGACCCGCAGAGGAAGGCCAGAATCCAGCTCGAGCGAGAGGGCGGCGGCAGATGTAACGGCCTGGGCATGCGCTCCGTCGCAGAGAGGAGACGCACTCCTCGGAACCCGGGCCAGGCTCGTCTTGTGGCGCACCACCTGCAGGCGCCTCCACGACTCCGCGCGACTGTGCACCCTCGGGGACCTCATCGTCTGGCCTCGCACGGAGCCTGCCCGAGCCCTAGGGGCCCTCGCCCCCCGGCGCGCCAGGATCCAGATCAGCCCACGGCCCGACATTCACAGTGCGATTACAGCGCTTGGGATAGTCCGCGGCACGAGCGTTTCCAAGAGTATCTCCTACCTTGAGCCCCCGTAGACGGTGAAGGGCGACATTCCTGGCGGAGACCACTTACTTGTCCTTCCGTGGTGCAAAATTGGCACCGACGGCAAATGAATCCCGCCAGCCCTCTGGGCGCAAGTAATCTAACGATAACTTCCTGTCCTGTGCCAAAACCCCCCCTTCCCCTTCGGGGAGGGGTTTATCATTTTTCCCTATTAATAAACACCCCCTCCCCCAGGCGACTGGGAGCCAACCCGAGTCCATGAGGGCACCCCCCACCACCATCCCTTATAAAAAACAATACAGAAAACACTCTGCCTCCAAATTCGGAGCATGCGCAGCGAACCCGATGCGGCCTCCCCCCACCATCCCTGTCAAAAAACAATACGTACACTTGGCGGCGGCGGCTGCGGCGGGGGCAGCGGCTGCGGCTGCGGCTGCGGCGGCCGCGGCGGCGGTGGCGGCGGCGGCGGCGGGCGGCGCGGTGGCGGCGGCGGCGGCGGGCAGCGGCGCGGCGGCGGCGGCGCGGCGGCGGCGCGCGGCGGCGGGCGGTGGGGGCGGCGGCGGAGGCGGCGGCGGATGCGCCCCCAGTGACTGCCCATCCTAAGACGACTGTTGCATATGCTGCGGCTCGGGCCAGGCTCGGGTGCTACGTATGTGTCGGGAGGGCGGGTGGGAGTGAGCGAGACGGCTTGCGGGCGGGGAGGGCGTCTTGACCCCTTCCCCTACCCCCATCCCCTGGACTTTGACGGGAGGGGCCGCGATCCGTTGGAGCGTCCAAGATCGGCCCCTGGGAGGGCCAATTTTTGACACCCCTCACGAGGATCGTGGCCCCCCAGGGTGGGGCCTCGATCGGGTGAATCCCTCCTTTGATCGATAGCCTCGAAGACGGCCACCTCAGGCGCTCCAGGGCTCCCAAGAGAGCCCCAAGAGAGCCCCAAGGCTCCAGAGGGTCCCAAGAGGGCCCCAAGAGGCACCCGAGAGGCCCCCAAGAGGCCCCCGAGCGGTCTCAGAGTGCCCAAGATGACCTCCAAGATGGCTCAGATAGCCCAAGCTGGCTCAAAATGGCTCCCAAGATGCTCCAAACGGCCCCAAGACAGCTCCAAGAGCGCTCCAAGAGCCCCAAGAAGCGGTTTGCCGGCTCCTGAGGGGGGAGCTGAGTTGGCCCCCCCCATCCTGTAATCAATGGCCTCCAAGGTGATCCCAAGAAGCCTTCCAGGGTTACCAATAGGGTTCCAAGAGGGCACCCAAAACTCCCAGAGAGCACCAGCAGCAGCAGCAGCAGCAGCAGCCGCAAGAATACCTCTAGATGGTTCCATGGGTCCTCATCCGCGTCGTCCTCCTACTGGTCCCAGTCCTCGTCCTCATCGTCCTCATCCGCGTCCTCGTCCTCCTCGTTTTCCTCCTCCTCCTCCTGCTCCTCCTCTTCCCCTCGCCCCCACGCGGCACCCAGGGATGGCCCGGAGAGGCCTTCCAAGGCCCCCCCCCTTGCTCGCTTTGTCTCCCTAGATGTGTCTATTCGTCCCTTTTCCCGTCAGCTCTGAAGGGCAGAGTTTCTAAATGAGCTGGTGGGGATACTTTTTTATTTATTTTTTTTACAGCCGCAGGGGGAAGCGCCAGCGGCAGGCGGTCACGGTCGGGCTGCGGCCGCGACTAGGGGGGGCGGGAGCTGGTGGGGATACGCGAAGCGTGAAGAACATCAAAACGGATCGCTGGCATCGAGGTCAAGCATACTGCGCCCCAGCGCTGCCAGAGCGGGAACATCAATGCCTCTGATGCCGCTCCCAGGGCCCCCACGGCAAACTCCCGCGGGGGGCTTCGAGTCCGAACGGGACCCACGGAAACAGCGCTCACATTGCCAGGCACTATTATCAACCCAGGGCCAGACGTGCCCAGGGAGACCGCCGCGGGTGGAGGAAGGAGTGGGGAGAAGAGGAGGAAGCAGGAGGAGAGAAGGGACCTGCTCCTCCTCCTCCTCCTCCTCCTCCTCCTTCTCCTCTTCCTCCTCCTCCTCCTCCTCCTACCCCTACTCCTCCACCTCCTCCTCCACCGCGGGGAGTGGGCGCGGGGCCTTGCACAGCTTCAGCCCCTCCTTCTCGACCTCCGCGGCGGCTACATGAGGGATAGGAGGGGGGGGGGCCGAGGGGGAAGAGGCGGAGAAAGGAGGGATGAGGAGGTGGGAAAAGGAGACTCGGGTCCTGGACCCTGGGGCCTTCCCCCAGGACGAGTTCTTCCTCCCGAATCGTTTCCTGACAGTCCTGGGGCCCGTGAAAGGCCTCGACAGCCCGAAAACGGTGAAAAACCTCTGGATCCCCTCCCCTCCTCCGTCGTCCGGTGCCCTCCTCCCCCTGAGCCCATCCCCCTGAGCCCTGGACCCCTTCCCCTCCCCCTCTGGACCCCTCCCCCTCCCCCTGAGCCCATCCCCCTGAGCCCGAAAACAGTGAAAAACCTCTGAACCCCGTCCCTTCCCCCTGAGCCCCTCCCCGCCGCCCTCGTGCTGCCCCCGAGGGCAGCGCAGGGCCTGGATGGCGAGCTCCCTCGTGGGGCACACGGCCAGGCCGATGGGCCCGTCGTCGCGCCCCACCGCCGGCTGCGGGCAGCTGGCGGCGTGCTCACTCTTGGCTGCTGCGCCGACGCCGACACCGTCAGCGCCCACAGAGGAAGAACAAAAGCAACATAAGCATAAACTTTCTCCTCTTCGAAGACACCACACGAGCGGATACATCTCCCCGTCGTAGATGCATGAGCGGTTGGGGGTCGATGCATCCGCCTATCCCCTCCCCCCCGACGTCGCCATCGACTGACCACGAACATACACCAAACGGATGGAGATCTCTCAAAAAGAAGAAAAAACGGCATCCGCGTACTTGCGGAACACCACGCGGGTTTCTCGGATCGGCGCTGGACCCGCCTCCCTGGCGCGCGGAGCGCGCCAGGAGCGGTGCCAGAGGCGCCGCCGAGGGAGCCCAGCGCCGATCCGAGAAATCCGCGCGCAGATCCGAAAAATCACGTCTTTCTCTCGTATACCTTCCTTCCCTCTTCCTCCTCCCTCCCTGTCCCCTCCTCCTTCTTCTCCTCCTCCTCCTCCTCCAAATCTTACTCCCTGCGCCCTGCCTCCTCCTCCTCCTCCTCCTCCTCCTCCTCCTCCTCCTCTTCCTGCTCCTGCTCCTGCTCCTGCTCCTGCTCCTGCTCCTGCTCCTGCTCCTGCTCCTGCTCCTGCTCCTGCTCCTGCTCCTGATCATCATCATCATCATCATCATCATCATCATCATCATCATCATCATCATCATCATCATCATCATCATCATCATCATCATCATCATCATCATCATCATCATCATCATCATCATCATCATCATCATCATCATCATCATATCATCATCAATCATATCATCATCATCATCATCATCATCATCCATCATCATCATCATCATCGTCGTCGTCGTCGTCATCATCATCATCATCATCATCATCATCGTCCATCACATCACCATCATCATCATCTCATCATCACCATCATCATCAATCATCATCAGCAGCATCACCATCACCATCATGAATCATGAATCATCATCATCATCATCGTCATCATCATCATCATCACCATCACCATCACCATCACCTCACATCAACATCATCATCATCATCATCATCATCATCATCATCATCATCATCATCATCATCATCATCACTCTCATCCTCTCTTCCTCCTCCTCCTCCTCCTCCTCCTCCTTCCTCCTTGTCCTCCTTCCTCTCCCTCCTTCCTCCTTCCATCCTCCTCCTCCAGATCTTTTCTTGCCTTCTCCTTGTGTTCTCTGCCTCCTTGCCTCCCTCCCTCGCTTCCTCCTCCCTCATCATGATCCCGACCTCCTTCATCGCTCCCTCTCGTCGTTACCCCCGTCCTCCTGATGAACAAAATTCTGCACCTCCTCATCCGCGATCCCTGCGTCCTCACTCGTTGTTCTCGTCCTCCCCATGCTCCTGCTCCTCCTGCTGCTTCTATTCCTCCTCCTCCTCATCATCATCATACTCTTCCTCCTCCTCCTCCTCCTCCTCCTCCTCCTCCTGCTCCTCCTCCTCATCCTCAGCATCACCATTAGCAGCGTCGACATCATCATAACCACCATCATCATAACCACCATCATCATCACCACCATCATCAACATCAGCACCAGCATCATCATCATCATCATCATCATCATCACCACCATCACAATCACCATCATCATCATCACCATCATCATCATCATCATCAGCAGCAACAGCATCAGCATCATCATCATCATCACCATCACCATCACCATCATCAGCATCATCATCATCATCAGCAACATCACCATCATCATCATCACCAACATCAACATCATCAGCATCATCAGCATCATCACCACTACCGTCATCATCGACAACATCCCCACCACCACTATCGACACCACCATCGTCACCGTCCCTATCATCATCAGCAGCATCATCATCACCGCCACCATAATCACCATCATCATCATCATCATCATCATCATCATCATCATCATCATCATCATCATCATCATCATCATCATCATCGTCGTCATCATCATCATCATCAACAGCATCATCCCCATCGTCATCACCATCACCATCATCATCAACATCATCAACAACATGATCACCATCACCATTTCCGTCACCATCAGCAGAATCAGCATCATCATCAGCATCATCACCATCACCAATAGCATCATTATCCCTCCCCCCGCCCCTTACAGAACGCACAACGAGCAGACGCGCGGAGCACAGCGACAAAAAAGGCGGCTCCTATGCACCACCATCGGGATGAGATAGGCGCAAGTCTTCCCGCTGCCCGTCTCGGCGATGCCGATCACGTCGCGGCCGCTTCGGGGCGAGCAAGACGCGGCTCCCTCATCCTCTTATCTCACCTGGCCCCTTCACCTCCTCCTCATCCTCCTCCTTCCCTGTCGGATTGCTCTTCCGTCCTCTCCCCTCATTCTGCCCGTTCCGCCTTCTCCTGCCGATCCTGTTCTTCCTCCTCCTCCTCATCCTCCTCCTCCGAGTCCGTCTCCTTCTCATTCGCCTCCTCTTTCTCCTTCTCCTTCTCCTGTCCCGGTTTCCTTCTGCGTCTCACCATCATCATCATCATCATCATCATCATCATCATCATCATCATCATCATCATCAGCATCAGCATCATCATCATCATCAGCAGCATCATCGTCATCATCATCATCATCATCATCATCATCATCAGCATCATAATCATCATCAGCACCAGCAGCATAATAATCATCATCATCATCATCACCATCATCATCATCATCAACCACCATCATCCTTATCAATATCATCATCAGCATCATCATAATCATCAGCATCAGCATCAGCATCACCATCATCATCATCTCCATCTGCATCACCATCATTATAAGTATCATCAGCATCATCATATTCCTCCTGCTGCTCCTCCTCCTCCACCTCCTCCTCGCCTCCTCCTCCTCCTCCACCTCCTCCTCCTCCCCACCCTCGTCCTAATCCTCATCCTCATCACCACCAACACCACCATCTCCATCACCATCTCCATTACCATCACCGCCATCGCCACGAGCACACAAATCATACTAAACAGCAACAACAACATCGTCATCATCATCCTCATCATCATCAACATCATCAACATCATCACCATCATCAACATCATCATCAACATCATCACAATCATCGTCAATACCAGCATTATCGTGGTCGTCGCCATAATCACCATCATCAGAATCATCATCATCAGCATCATCATCCACCATCGTCATCATCATCACCATCCTCATCCTGAGACTCATCATCATCATGGTCTGCATCATCACCATCAGCACCAACATCGTGTCCATCATCATCATCAGCAACAGCAACATCAGCACCATCATCATGCTCATCATCATTATCATCATCAGCATCATCAGCACCATTTCCATCATCATGGTCACTATCATAATCAGCATATGCACCATCATCATCATCAGCAGCAGCATCATCATCCACATCACCATCACCATCATCATTTTCATCATCAGCAGCAGTGTTCATCAAGACCATAACCACCATCATCATCATAACCACTATCATCATCAGCGTCATCATACGCATCGTCATCATGATCATCATCAGCAGCATCATCACCACTCATCATGTTCAGCATCGACGTCATCATCGTCACCAGCATCACTATCATCAGCAGCATCATCATCCTCTTCATCACGTTCAACTTCATATTCCTTCTCATCATCCGAAGCAGGGCCTCATCATCGTCCTCGTATGCTTCTTCGCATTCGTATAATCATGATTCGTCCGCCTCACACTTTGCCTCAACCTCCTCGCCCCACTTCATTGCTTATCCACCTCCCATTCCTCTTCCTCCTCCATTCCTCTTCACATGCTCGCTTACCTCCTCCTCCTTCCTTGCCTCCTTCCTCCCATTCCTCTTCCTCCTCCTTCCTCCTCCTTCCTCTTCCTCCTTACCATCCTCGCATGCTCGCCCTGTGATCTTCACATTCTGCTTACCATCCCATCCGTTCCCTCCATCGTTCGCCCCCCGTCGCCCGCACGGTGATAGTGGCGCACGGAGGAGGGGGGCGCCGCCTTGGCGGCGCACGCAAAACGGGGCCGGAGCGAGGGGGGCGGCGTGGCCTTCCAGGAGAATGGGGTGCTTGCACAAAGCGGCGGGCGGCTTCTGGGAATGCCTCCTGGCTCCTCTAAGTCTCATCTCGCCATCGCTCGGACGTCCATTCCCCGTGCATTCTTCGGTTTCGTGCGTGTTTGTTTGCTCGATGGTCCAGGATGGTCCTCGATGGTCCTCGCCGAGAAAAAATGCACACGTCCGAGCGATGCCAAGTCTCCTTAGAGGCCGACGGGCCCTTCTGAGAAAACCTCTGCCTTTTCAGGCCGCCCCCCCCTCGCGCCACACCCTTGTGGGCGCCGGCATGCCGTGGCGGCGCGCGTAGAGGGGGAGGTGCGGTCTTCTTCGAGGGCGGTGGTAGGCGTCTTGGCCGGAGGGGGGGCATGTACAGATGCCGCTGCCCTTTCCCTCCTCTTCCTCCTCCTCCCTCCAGCTCCTGCTCCTGCTCTCCCCTCCTTCCAATTACCTCTGCCCCCTCCTCCTCCTCCTCCTCCTCCTCCTCCTCCTCCTCCTCCTCCTCCTCCTCCTCCTCCCCGTGCCGTCGCGGGCGACCGCTGCCGTGCTCACGGCCGACGGCCGAGACCCCAAGGCACCCTGGACGGTGGCGGCGCTCCGCAGCGGTCGGCCCGCGCCTACGCTCGTCCGCAGAGGAGGCCAAGCTCGGGGAGGGAGGGCACGCGGGGAGAGCTCGAGCAGGAAGAGGACAACGTCTGGCTCTTGGGCGTCGCCTCAAGGGAGGGCGACAAACGGGGGGGGGGGGGGGAACAGGGGTGCGTTTTTCGGGCCCTCAAGGGCCCCCTTTGGGGCCCTAAAGGGCTTCTTTTCTGCAGCCCTCGCTGCCCCCTCACTCATCGACCCCCTACTACGCGACGCCCAAGGCTCAGTTAGCTGAGCTCTTCCGGGGGGGGAGGGCATCAACGTCGGCCCACAGACCTTTGGGAGGGCGGCGACGGCGGCGGCGACGACGACGAAGTTGACGACGGCGACGACGCTAACCCACGACGACGACGCTGACGTCTGACGACGACGACGGCGACGACGGCGGCGACGACGGCGGCGACGACGACGACAACGACGACGACGGCGGCGGCGGAGGCGGCGACGACGATGACGGCGGTAGTGGCGACGGCGAAGTGGACGGCGGCGGGGACGGCGGCAGCGGCGGCGATGACGAAAACGCTGGGGGCCCCAGCCGAGCGGGCGCGCCTCAGGGCCGCGGGCAGCGCCTGCGACTGGATGGGCGTCGGCTGCGCGTACCCGGCCTTCCGTAAGCAGGCCGTGATCGCCTGCCGGGCGCCAGCATGCTCCTCGTCGTCTGGCGTCCGTCGCCGCCGAGTGCGCGGGGGAACGGGAGGACGGCGGTTAGCGGACAGAGGCCCAGTTCGCTGGGCCAGAGAACTGAGCGGCGCAGATTACAAGGTTGGGAGATATGTTGGGTGAAACGCTGCACTGGCTGATCGGGGCAAGGGGGCGGAAGATGGAGGGAAGAGAGGCAGGAGGAGCATGAGGAGGAGGAGGCGGAGAAGGAGGAGAGGAGGAGGAGGAGGAGGAGGAGGAGGAGGAGGAGGAGGAGAAAAAGAAGAAAAAGAAGAAGAAGAAGAAGAAGAAGGGGAGCGACGCAGAAACAAACGCGGGGGGGGTGGGAGGAGAAACGAACGAAGGAACGAGGCTGGCATGGCCCTGAGGGCGACGCAAGAAGGACGGCGGGAGGACGGATAAAACCCAAGCACAATTGGAGTCGAGTGGGGGGAGACAAAAAAAGAACAAAGGATGCCACGCTCCTCCCACACTAAATTTGCTCGTAACTTCAACCCGCCGACTACTGTTTTAGGCTGTTTGGGGAGTGATCGCGTGGGGGGGCTCGACGCCCGTCACGCGTGTCTTTCTTCGAAGGAAGCGGGAAAAACGCTGCCGCCCTGTTCGCCCGTTGCGTGATAGATGCCGTCTGGGTCCGCGGCGATGCGCAGCGACGCGTTGTGCGGGTATGGCGTAACTACGCGTTGACGGGGCTCCTCCCTGCACTAGCGACGGCAGCTTCTGGGACAGCCGTCCGTTCCTGCTGTTGCGTTCCATCGACTTTTTCTGGCGACGGCGACGGCGACGAAGGCGATGACATTCGCTTCTGCTTCTGGGTTTCGTGAGCGTCTCCGCCGCTTCTTGTGCTTTCGTTTCTTTCTTCTTGGGCCGCCGCCGTCGTCGTCGTCGCCGTCGTCGTTGTCGTCGTCGCCGTCGTCGTTGCAGCCGCGGCCGCCGTCGCCGCCGTCGTCGTCGTCGTGCATGTGCTCCTGTGGACCCCTCCGTGACCGCCGAATCGCAGCCACGCATGTGCGCTGGAGTTTGCTGATGCGGCCTGCAGGGGTCTCCGCCGACAACGTCGACGACGACGACGACGACGACGACGACGACGACGACGACGACGACGACGACGACGACGACGCCGACGCCGACGTTCCCGACGACGCCGCCGACGACGTTGACGACAACGCCAACGACGCCAACGACGCTGAGGCCCGGAGCCCTCGGGCGCGCACGGCGCAGACGTGGCGTGCTGGCCGAGCGGGCCGCGCCACCTTTCAGGGCGATACGTCGTCCTGCGCGGCGAAGCCCGCGATGACCCCGAAGCGCGCCTCGAGAAGGTGCGGATTGCGCGCGCGCGAGATCTTGGGCTGCCACGGCGTCTCGACATGGAGTGCCGCGCTGGTCGGCCGTCTGCACGGCCTGGACCGCGGCTCATCCCGTGGAGCATCCAGACGCATGCTCCCCGGCACCCCGGTCCCCCCGCACCTGCATCGGCGAGGCGTTGTCTGCCTTTCCCCATGCCTGTGGGAACGCCACCTGCGCTGCACCGGGCTAGGAAGCAGGTGAGCACGGGGTGCGGGAAGAGAGGGCGGAGGAACAGGAGAAGTCACAGAAGGCGCAGAAGACCTAGGGCTCCCAACTTCGCGCTTCGCGCTGCGCGAAGCGCGAGAGCGCGAATAACTTCGCGCTCTCGCGCCGCCCTCCCAAAGGGAGAATAGGAGGACGAGGAGGAGGAGGGGGAGAAGGAACGAGGACCGCGAAGCGCGAAGCGCGAATAACTTCGCGCCCTCGAGGGAGCCCTTGAAGACACGGGAGGAGCCGCAGAGGACGCGGAGGACGCGGGAGATGGAGAAGCGAGCGGACCCCGAGGAATCACAGGCGGGAGCACGAGAAGGAGCGAAGAGGAGGGGCGGGAGGAGGAGGAGGAGGAGGAGGAGGAGGAGGAGGAGGAGGAGGAGGAGGAGGAGGAGGAGGAGGAGGAGGAGGAAGGAGGGGAGGAGGAGGAGGAGGAGGAGAGGAGGAGGGAGGAGGAGAGGAGGAGAGGAGGAGGAGAGGAGGAGGAGGAGGAGGAGGAGGAGGAGGAGAGGGCGGAGGAGGAGGAGGAGGAGGAGGAGGAGGAGGAGGAGAGGGCGGAGGAAGCAGAGGAGGCTGGAGGAAGAGAGGGAGCAGGGGGCTGAGCAGTGGCGCGCGGACCGCCGCGCCACCCGGAACAGCCGAGACGGGACCCGGTGATCCAGCTCTAAGAGAACTCGGGAGCGGCCAAGAGGGGGGTGTCCAAGAGGGGGGGGGAGTGCAAATCATGACGGGCGGCACGTGCGCGGCCCATCGGGGGGGGCCTGGGTGGGACGCAATGAAATAAGAAGAGGCGCCACGAAATCTGGGGAGATCTCATGGCCCCCGCCATGATCTCCCCCCCCCCCCCCCAGTCATCACCCCCTTCTTCTCCGCCCCCGAAGAGCACGGGCCCGCGCACCCGCGCGCGAGGGCCGGGGAGGAGCCGTGGCAGAGCGAAGGGGAGGAGGGGGCGGGAGGCTCGCCGTCGCCCGGGCGGCCGTCCCTCGGGCGCTTCTTTTGCTGCTCGGGTGCCGTGCGCGCGTGCCTGCCCCCGGGGTGGCCCGCGGGGCTCCCCGAGGGCTCTGGCCGACGGGGCCGCGCACGCGTCGTCCGAGGAGGGCGAGGGGGGAGCTCGCCTCCGCTCGAGCCGGGCAGGGGGGCGCGTGGCCCGAGGGACTCGCCCGAGGAGGGCCCTCGTCCGAGGAGGGGAGCTCGTCCGAGGAGGGCGAGGAGGGCGCGTCGCCCTGGCAGGGCCAACGCCTGCCCCTCGAGCAGCTGGGCCAATCCGGCCTGCGGAAAGGGCAGGGTGCACGAGGCTACCCGTCGGTCGGAAGATGCAGGCAAAAGCGTGAGGTAGGAGGGCGGCTAAAGAAGATTGGGCTCGGACCCTCCCAGAGAAGAAAAGAGCACAACAAAAACACAACGACTCTTGGGATGGGAAGGTGCCTAAACCACATTGGGATCCGGGGATTCAGACAATCTACTTTCAACGACCGACGAGTTAGCGGCATCGGCAGCAAGAGTCGTGCCATGACAACTTCTTCCCTGGCATCAGAGCTGCTTTTCTGCGAGGGCTTCGGGACAGCGATGGCCAACTTCATGCTGGGGCTGTCTTCCGCAGGAGATCGTCACGAGCTGGAGACCTATATGCTGCCAACTGTCCAGGCACATCAGTTTTGCAACTCGGGCGAGGTCTTCGTGCATCCGAGGGCGGAGTACTTTCGACATCTTCGGAGAAAATGGCCTCAACCTGGAGCCGAACATGCAGACCTGGATCGACAACTTAGCCGAGAAGGTCATGCAACACGGGCAAAAGTACATTCATAATAGCTCCGACACTGAGACGCAACTCCAAGGCTTGCACGCGACGTTCAAGCATCTCGAACAGAGTCCTGAACAAATCTGCTCATTATGACGTGCAGAACACCAGACTGCAGAATGAGACGGAGCGGGTGAGCAAGATGGGGAAAAAAAAGGCTCCACGCAGAAGGACGACGACCTCCATGACCCAAACGGGGAGCAGGCCTCGACTTCGGTTGAGGACGTCGCGGCGTCGCACGCGCCGCAGTGGGGCGACGCGCAAGTCTTCTTCCCCCCCCCCAGCGACAGGCAAGGCCATGCATGGCGATGCCAAGGCTCGGGTGGCCATCGACGAGCAGAGCACCGAGCCGATGAACCAGGGCGGCCACTGAGCAGCGACGAGGCGCAGGCCTGCCCCCCGCGAGTGGCGGCCACGGCGAAGATGGGCCGATAGACGAGTGCAGCCACGCCGCCCCCAGCGAGTCGTACTGCAAGGAGCAGGCACTGGAAGCGGCAGAGAAACTGAGCAGCGACGAGGCGCAGGCCTGCCTCCCGCGAGCGGCGGCCACGGCGAAGAGGGCGAAGCTGTCGTGGGCGAGCGGCCCGCCGCGCCGCGGGCTGAAAGGTCAGGGGCGACGATAGGGGGGGAATAAGCATAGGGCGGGATGCCTCAAACCCCAATGGCCCACTGATGGCCGATAGGGGCCCGATAGCCCCATCCAGCCCGGGAGCGTGCGAATTCGTCATCGGGGGCCGATCGACGATCTATCAGCGATGCATCGGGGGCCGATCGACGATCTATCAGCGATGCGTCGCGGATTCCAGGATTATGTGTCCCCCCCTATTCCAGTCCCCCCCTCTCGTTGCCCCTCAGAGGAAGGACGTGGGGTGGGGCAGGAGGGGGCAACCCCCTGCACTAGGTGCGCCCCTGGTGCGTGATGGTGCTCCTCCCCTCTTCCACGGCCTCCTTCCGCGGGCGCGCTCTCGCTCTCGGACACTGCGGTAAGGACCTCTTCTGGTTGGCAGGGGTGTGTACGGGGGGGGGTCTCAGGGTTGGGGGAAGGGCTAGCCCTGCCCTCGAGTGCTCCCCTCGAGACACCATCCCAGACGACGATGCCACGTGCCGATCCTCCGCCACCCCCCTCGGCACAGTGCGAACAGCCGTTCGGGTCGCCATGTAGCTAGCGCAGTGCGACTCGGTGGGGATATCGTCGACGAAAATACGACGACGACAAAACAGGCCGATGACGACGGCCACGCCGACGCGGACGACGGCCGGCCACGACCACGACGACGACGACGACGACGACGACGACGACGACGACGACGACGACGACGACGACGACGACGACGACAACGGCGACGGCGACGGCGACCGCGACGGCGACCGCGACGGCGACCGCGACCGCGACGGCGACGGCAACGGGAACGACGACGACGACGACGACAACTTTTTTTCATCATCCATCGACACTGGGAAACGCAAAAATACGCAATGCTGTCTGGTTCGTTGCAGTGCGTCGGGTGGCATATAGTAAAGTTCCCCGTCGCAGGGCGTGAGGCCCTCTACTCGCCCATGCTGGGCGCGCCGTGCAGGGGGCTCTCCGAGCGGCGAACCTGCGTGCACTCTAACTCGGCGTGGTGATCACGTGCACCACCTGTGTCTAGCTATCCTCTATGTAGTTCACGGTGCCCTTTTTACCCTGCGCGCCGAATGCAAAAGGCTTTGCAACGATACAGACCGTTACTCTACAAGTCGGCGCGGCCTCCATATTTCTGCCGGCTGGGAAGCAAAACGAATCGCTCAAAATGGTCCCGCGGAGTCGCCTGGGGCGCAATCGGCTTCGGGGCCTGGGGGAAAAAACGCGACATACCATCACGGATATGGTTGCTATGCCGATGCTCCCCTGTCCCACGAAAGGGTACCAGGAAAAACATCATTCTAGCGCTCTGGCAGCCTCTTCGTCGGCTTCGTATTCGTCGACAAGGTCGGGTGGCTCTAAAAAATTATCTTGTGGCTGGCAGGCAGCGGTGAACTGGCGGGGAGTGGAGCTCGCTGGGGCCTGGCATGCACGGCTCGCGGGGCGCAGTGCGAATGTGAACTTAGGATGGCCTCGCACGCTATTGCCGCCCTGAATCGTGCATTCCTGGCTGGAGGCTGGGAGAGGAGAGCTGCTGCGCTGAAAGACAACTGACGACGACGACGCCGCCGACGACGCCGACGCCGACGCCGACCGACGACGACGAGGACGCCGACGACGACGACCACAGCGACGCCGACGCCGCCCTCCTCCGCGCCGCTGCCCCTGCCGCCGAAGGCTCCCGCGGGCCGCCGAGGGCCACCGCGGGCCGCCGCGGGCTGCCGAGGGTCGCCTCGGGGAGCCCCAAGTGGGCGAAGGACGTCGCTGGGCTCGGGCACGCTGAGCGCCGCGGTGTTCTCTTGTTATTATTAGCGAGGCGACGCTGATACATACATGTATCATTTAATACATAAGTCAATTGAATGACAAAACAACGAAATAGAACCATCGCGCACGCTCAGGCTCTACCTGTTTGTAGGCCGAACGAACACGGCAGAAAAAAACCGCGCCCAGACAAGGGGGAACCGTGAGTTTCGAGGCCAACGCGTTCTTGACTGAAAGTGCGATTAAGGGCTCGGGTTAGGATAATCAGGGTACAACTAAACAAAAGGGCGCACACATGTAAACACATGTTACTCCCTCGCCACGAGCAGGGTGGAGGAATGCAGGAACAATGGAGAGCTCCGACGGCCCCAGAGCGAGAGTTCGCATGCCCCCCCCCCCGCACATCTCGCACACCCCTGACGCGGATTGTTGCCCACGAGGAGCTCCACCTACGGCACCCGTAGGCAACTTCGCCCAACGTCCCCACGCCCATCTCAACGCACGCCTCCCGCGGATCGTACTCCACAAGGATCTCCACCGACGGCTTCAGTGGGCGCGTTCGCGTGCCCCTCCCCCCCCCTCTCTTTCACGCGGATCGTGCCCCGCAGGGGGTCCAGTCACCTCCTCTGCGCGCTAACTCCGCAGCAGCCCCCACTCCGCGCGACCCCGCGGCGCGCGGTATACGAAGAGAGGGGGCCGTGCCCTGCGCTACGCGCAGCTGCATGGGGTTGTGCCCCCGCCCGGCTCAGCGTGCCCTTTTTTGAACTCAACTCTCCCTCGGTTGGGTTCTCGTTTTGAATTGAGCACTGCTCGCGCGTCTCCTCCCCTCTTTCCTCCAGCATACGCCTTCCCCCTGCCTCTTCCTCCTCCTCCTCCTCCTCCTCCTTCTCCTCCCTCTCCTCCTCCTCCTCCTCCTCCTCCTCCTCCTCCTGCTCCTCCTCCTCCTCCTCCTCCTCCTCCTCCTCCTCCTGTTCCTCCTCCTCCTCCTCCTGTTCCTCCTCTCCGCCTCCTCCTCCTCCTCCTCCTCCTCCAGCTCCTGCATCCCGTGCGCTCCCTCAGGAGCTGCGAACTGCGCAGCTGTCACCACTTTCATTGACTCCTGGGAGGTACGGCCGGGTGCAGGGCAGCGCAGATCACTTCGAGACCTCGCGGCCCCCTCGGGAGCAGCGAACTGCGCAACTGTCGCCACTTTCGTGGGCTCGTGCGGCAGGGCAGCGGTGAGAGCAACGCGGGTCAGTTGGGACCTCGCGGCTCCGTCGGCGGCTGCGAACTGCGCAATCGTCGCCACTTTCGTGGGCTCCTGCGAGGCACGGCAGAGGTGAGGGCAAGGCAGATGGTGCACATCCCGCGATGTGTTCTTCTGCATGGAACGATCATACAAATAGTCGCCTCGCGTGGTTAAAGGGTTTGTTCACGTCTCGGATAATTCATGCATGCATGCGTAACCGAGTGAGTACCGCTGATAATCACACCCGGGGAATAAGAAAGTTCGGGGCCCGGGGCGATAACATATTTCTCGTCCTGGCAACTCGCATGTACTGGGGCAGAAATCTGGTATAGCGATACCCTGCTGCTCTGGCGATACCCTGCTCGCTTTCGCTGAAATGGTCACAAACTCGATTTTGGACCGCGGCGACCAGCGCCAGCAGAACCGGCATCAGACTCAGCATCGCCATCGTCATCATCCTCCGCATCATTATCAACATCATCCATCGTCAGCAGCATCATCATCATCATCATCATCATCATCATCATCATCATCATCATCATCATCATCATCATCATCATCATCATCATCATCATCATCATCATCATCATACTCATCATCAGCATCATCAGCATCATCATCAGCAGCAGCATCAGCATCAGCAATAGCGTCATCGTCATCATCATCATCAGCATCATCATCATCATCATCATCATCATCATCATCATCATCATCATCATCATCATCATCATCATTATCATCAGCAGCATCATCAGCATCATCATCATCATCGTCAAACTGTTCCAGCGGCTGCGCCTCGCCGAGAGCGTTCCAAGGGCGCACGGATCGTCCCGAACGGCCGCCGGAGGCCCGAGTTGTGACATAAAAACCGAAACCTCCTGGCTCGGCGGCGCGCCCAGGGGGAAAGTGAGGAAGAGGCCTTCTCAGAAGGCGGCAAGGCTTCACAGAAGGCCTCTGGTCCTTTGAGAGGTCTTCCGCGCCCGAGGGGACAAGCTTGGAAAACTTCTCGGAAGGCCAGAAGACTTCCGAGACTTCTGCGAAAGCCCGCCCACCCTCAGTTCCCCCCCCCCCCGGGCGCGCTGCCGACATGGAATCCGCGGCACATGGCCAAGAGATCAGGGCTGGGCACCCGAGAGTGACACCGCACGTTTCTGGGCGGGGTGGGGGGCCGAGGCTCCGATTAGAGACGCATGGGCGATTGGGGGTCGATGTCCCCCCCCCTTTACAGTCGGACCCAAGACAGAAGACCACCCTTCAAGAACATGAGACCCTCCGCCGGCCAAAACACACAGAACAGCCAAGGATACCCTCCCCAGGATGCACAAGAACATCCAACAAACACGAATAATAACACGGCCCTCCCCGAACCGACCTCAATTTTACACCTCGGTCTGACAGTATCCTTGCTCCTGACGCAATCAGAAAAAAGGAGGCTGGTCCTCCACCGGTAATGTTGATACGCAGGGTCTTCCTCCGGGCCAGAGCGTTGGTGCTCTCTGGCACCGCGGGAGGCGGGGGCGATGTGAGGCAACCGGGACGGAAGCGAGGGAGAGGTTCGCATCTCGCAGCTCAAGATCACGCGGTCAGGCGCGCTGAAGAGAATACGACTGCGATCATCATCGATCAAACCAGAGGCGGCCTCGATTGCGGCCACCCTCGAATCCGCCTCAATAATCACCACACTGGTCATCAGCGTAATCAGCCTCATCATCACCACCACCATCGTCGTCAGCAGCAGTAGTAGCAACAGCATCATCATTGTCACCATCACCATCACCATCATCATCACGATCACCATCACCATCACCCTAACCATCACCAACACCACCATCACCATCACCATCACAATCTTCATCAGCATCAGCATCATAATCAGCATCAGCATCAGCATCAGCATCAGCATCACCACCATCATCATCACAACCACCACCATCACCACCATCGTCATCTCCATCTCCATCTCCATCACCATCACCAGCATCAGCATCAGCATCATCAGCGTAGCCATCACCATCACCATCACACCATCACCACCACAATCACCTTGACAATCACAATCACCATCATCAACAGCATCATCAGCATCATCACCAGCATCACCATCATCACCATCATTTTCATCATCCTCATCATCTTCATCATCAGCAGCACCATCATCATCATCATCATCATCATCATCATCATCATCATCAGCAGCAGCAGCAGCAGCAGCAGCAGCAGCAGCAGCAGCAGCAGCAGCAGCAGCACGGCCCTCCTCCTCGCGCTAGGATGGGGGGTGGGGGGCGGGGGAGGTGGGGGAAGAACATTAGGATAGAAGGTGGGATCGGGGGTGGAGGGACACGCTGAGAGCGGGAGGTGAGGCGGGAAGCTCAGCGGGAGCGGGCTGGGAGGGCTGCGAAGGCTGGGAGGGTGAGAGGGGAGAGGGCTGGGAGGGTGAGAGGAGAGCGAGCGGGTAACGGGGGTGGGAGGGCAATGACCAGGCGGCGGGGGAGGAGCTGACCCACATCTGCCTCCCTGGCCTCCTCGAGAACTTCCGCCGCCCGCGACGTGTTGAGACGACCACGACGCAGTGAGCCGGCCCGACGAGGAAGAGAAGGCTGATGAGGCGGAGGCAGATGGGGAGGAGGAGGACGAACGAGGAGGAGGGGGGGAAGAAGATCAGAGGGACCAGCAGCAGGGCAGCGTAACCCGACCCGATTGCCGATCGCACCTCAAGCGGGAGGGCCATTATCATGCTTATGATTGTTATTCTAGGCTCTGCTTACACACTTGAGCAGCAAGACGATAATGACCCTCGTTGGTGACTCTGCGCAACGGCAACGGTACAAGCTCCAATGGCAGAAGGGGAAAACAAGGGAAAGCACTGGGATGGAGGGAGCTGTTGAGGATAGTTCATCTTTGCTCCTCCTCCTCCTCCTCCTTCTCCTCCTCCTCCTCCTCGTTCCTGTCCTTGCCCCATGGATACCATGACGCCACAGAGCTGGATGCAAAGCGTAACGCGTTAGCCTTTGTCAGACTGAACTGGCATGCCGATTTGATTGAAGTACGGTGGGGTCTGGAACTCACGGCCTGGTATCTCGCATGGGGCTGGCGCCGTGCTGTCTTTGCGAAAGCTCCACAAGGCTGGAAGCGGGCCTCTGGATGCCGCTGGAGATGAGCAACAAGTAGCACCGCCCTGTTTATGTCTGTCTGATCAAGGCGCCAAACATCTGGATGGGACGGCCAGGGTGGGTCCTTAGCCCCGCCACCTCCTCCGCGCTGAGAGACTCGATCTCTGGGTGTGGCTGGTAGAACTCGGTCTTGACAGGCTTGTAGTCCTCGCGTGAGCTCGCAAGGGGAACAGCGACGGGGATGCCGACGACAGGAGAGAGAAGGACGAGCAGGAGAGACGATGAGGATGGGCACACCGAGAAAGGGAGGGGAAGGGGACGACGACGACGACGACAACGACGACGAGTACGAAGAGGAGAGACGGCGAGTGAGAGTACCAGCAGCAGAAGCAGAAAAAGACGAATATCAGGAAGGGTGCGGAGAACGACGACAAGAAGAAGAAGAATAATGAGGCTGGGGAGGAGCAGCAGGAGAAACGGGAGGGGGCAAGAGGATGGCCCCGACTATGACGACGAGGACGAGGACAACGGGAGGGACGAGGGACGAGCTGCGGTAGCAGGTGGAGTTGGAGCAGCAGGAAGAGGCGGAGGTGCAGGCGGCGACGGGGGGAGGACCGGCCTGCTCGACACCCCCGGTTCTTGCCCTCATCTTCCTCCTCCTCCCCCTCCTCCTCCTCCTCCTCCTCCTCCTCCTCCTCCGCCTCCTCCGCCTCCTCCTCCTCCGCCTCCTCCGCCTCCTCCTCCTCCGCCTCCTCCACATCACCCGTATCCACCGGCCTCCGCGTCCCCACATCACCCCCCGTGGTGACGGCGCTGGCGGCGCTGGGCTGGCCAACGGGCAAGCTCGGGTGGCACGGATCGGGGATCTTCTGACCCGGGTCAATCCAGACCTGGGTCAGCAGGAAACCAAAAACTGCAATGCAGGAAAAAAAACTGCAACGCAGGTCTTCGCAAACCCGGGTCAGCCAATACGCGCGGCCGCCTCGCGGCCACGAGCGGCTCGCTAACCCGGGTCAGCCAGAGGGGATCTTCGCAGGATCCTGCAGGATCTGGTGCCCTTGCTGACCCCTGGTTGCATTGACCCCCGTCTCAAGGCTCCCGAACGGAAAGGCACGGCGGGCCCCTGGCCCGCTGGCTGCTCCCTCGGGGCGCCTCGGCGCCTCGGTGGGGGCGCGGCGGCGTTGGCCCCCCCCCCTCCGCATCCTCCCCGCGGCCCCGCCCGCCGCCGAGGGCCACGAGCGGGTGCAGGGGCAGAGCGGTGGCGGCCCCACCGGGGCCACCCCGGGGGCGTCACCAGGGCTTCGGTGTCCACTGCGGCGGGCCCTGGCTCCGAGGGGGAGGGCACGGCCGTCGCGGATGTCAGCACGACGTCCTTGGCCCGCCTCAGCCGTCTGGGGCTGCCCTGGACGATGGGAAGAGATTCGAACACGGAGGCCGATGTGCTGGACCCATGGCTCCACACGCTGCAAAACGTTCGTGCTTCTTGGACGGCTCTTCCACGCGCTGGACAAAGTGGTGCCGCTCTGCGAAGGCGCGCCCTCCGCAGACGAAAGCGCTGGCCTGTTTCCCAACTTGCCCGTGACACTTGAGGTCAAGGCCAAGGCGCGGCCCCTGTGCGACGAGTCCCGGTCGAGCCTGCACCCTGTTCCACGTTCCTCCCTCCTCCTCCTCCTCCTCCTCCTCCTCCTCCTCCTCCTCCGCCTCCTTGTCCGCCTCCTCGTCCGCCTCCTCCTCCTCCTCCTCCTCCTC